AATTACTAACACCTTGTTTTAGAAAAGAAAAGAGCATATCATCACTTTTAAAAATAGATGTAGTAAAACTCAGATTAATTTTTTTCTTATAAGAAAAATAAATCATTTAGATTGCAAAGATTGTAAAGTTATTCCTAATAAAAATTTATGTACCCAACGTCGCTTATTAGTTTCATACTTTTAGATGAAGGGGCGGAATATGAAAAATAAAGTGACATGTTATTTTAGAAATAAAGGAGGCTTTTTAAAAAATATTAATAAAAATATTTTTGAAAGTGTGATTCAACATCTTAAGATTTTGATTGTACATGAGGAAGCTAATGTTGTGTGAAAAAAAAAGCTAGTGATATTAATAATATTTTAAAGGATGTGCTATGAGTATTACAAGAAAAAATGCTCTTAATAATAAAAATAATTGGTGGTGGAATCAAAACTTGTACGAAAGATAAAAAATCATAAATTTTTTTATAAAAATTAATTTAGATGTAAAAATTCAGAAAATTGAGAAAGATATAGAGAGATCGGGAGTCTGAGAAATTAATATACGATGCAAATAATTTAGCTTTTATTGATTTATATAATATATTAGATATTTAGTAAAAAAACTTAGTCAAACAAAGAGATAAGTAAGGATCTAGTTCAAGTGAAGTGTATTAAGGATCTAGTTCAAGTGAAGTGTATTAAGGATTTAGATTAAAAAGTGCTTTTATTAGAAGATATTCAATAAAGGTGGATAAGATATTTTGATAAACTTGTCAATGAAGATTGTGAGAATACGATTTATTTTAGTGATTTTAGCAAACTAAATGAAAATATAGATTTTTATTTGTGTATTAGTAAAACTGAAGTTAAAGAAGCTTTAAAGAAAATGAATTGTGGAAAAGCTATTGGACCTGATGATATTCCAATAGTGGTGTGGAAATGCTTAGGACATAAATGAATTTCTTAGTTTACGAAACTTTTCATTATTATTTTGATGACTAAAAGGATGTCAGATGAGTGGAGCAGGAGTGTTTTGATTCTTATTTTTAAGAATAAAAGTGATGCACAAAAGTGTACGAATTATAGAGGAATTAAGCTATTTTATCATACTTTAAAACTATGTGAGAGAGTTATTGAGCATAGGTTAAGACGTGATAATAATGTTTCTCAAAATCAATTTGGATTCATGGCCGGGTAGGTTTATTATGGAAGCAATATATTTAGTGAGAGGTTTGATGGAGAAGTATAGAGAGAATAAGGAGGATATATATGATATTTATTGATTTAGAGAAAGCGTATGATAAAGTTTCGAAACAAGTGCTATGGAGAGTTCTAGAAAAGAAAGGGGTTAATAATGCTTATATTCAAGTCATTAAGGATATATATGCAGGTGTTATTACTTGTGTTCAAACATAAGGTAGTTTGCCTAGTATTTTCCTATTTGATTTGGTTTACATCAAGGATCAACTTTAAGCCCGCATCTTTTTACTTTAGTCATGAATATTCTTACTAGACATTTGCATGAGGATGTACTAGGGGTGTAAGTGAGCCGAGCCGGCTCGCGAGCCGGTTCATGAGCTCCCGACTCGTTATGGCCGTCGTGAGTCGAGCTTATCGAGCTCATGAGTCGAGCTCGAGTTCGAGCTTGAGCCTGCTTGGCTCGTGAGCCGGCTCGAATAAATATTAATATTTTTAAAATAATTTTATTTGATTTATTAAATTAAATATTAAAAATAATAAAAATCATCTAAGTTTTATTTAAATGTTAAATATTATATATTATATATATATAATAAATTTTGACTAAGTTTTAAAAATTCCGCTTAATTTTAAAAAATCCTGCCTAATTTTTAAAAATCCCGCCTAAATTTAAAATTTCCCTCCCATGGCTGGCAAGCTGGCTTGAGCTCGTTTACAGTGAGACGAGCTCGAGTTTGAGCTCGCTTTCCATGTAATGAGCCGAGCTCAATAAAGGCTAAAACTCGACTTGACTCGACTCGACTGGACTCGTTTACACCCCTATTTTTTTTTTTTTTTTTTCTCGTTTACACCCCTAGGATGTACCCTGATGTATGCTTTTTGATGATGCTATTCTTCTTATTGATAAGATTAGAGAGGGAGTTGAAGGTACACTTGAATTATGTAGGTCAACCTTAGAGTCTAAATGTTTTTGTTTGAGTAATCTAAATGAATACATGGAGTGTAATTTTAGTAGTAATTAAACTAGTGGGGGGATTGTGACTTTGGGCAATCAAGTTATTAATAAGAGTACACCTTTTAGATATCTTGGGTTTATTGTTTAGAGTGATGGTGAAATAGATGGGGATATTATTAGTAGAATTCAAGTTTGTTGGTTGAAGTGGAGGAATGCTTCGGGCTTGTTGTGTGATAAAAAAGTACCCTTCAAATTTAAGGAAAAATTTCATAAGATGATAGTGAGACCTACAATGCTTCATGGCATAGAATTTTGGCCATTAAAAGAGAAGTATAAAATTAATTTAAGTGTTGCATAGATGAGGATACTCAGGTGGATGAGTGGCTTTACTTTTACAGGACACAATGGAGAAAAAATATTCATGTAGCCGACCCCACGTAGTGAGATGAAGGCTTAATGTGGATATCCCTTACAATATTGTAGGTCATTGAAGGTTCTTAGATTGACTCATTAAAGCACAAAATCGAATAATTTAGAAAATGATTTTCTTATATGAAGAATACATAACCACATGAGTAAGTTCATGCTAAATTGTCTATTATGGATTAGCAGGTGAATATGTTGCTTTGACTATTGCAAGTGTATCATTTTTTTCCATCTTTCTTAGAAAGTAGTCGCTACCTTAGCCACATAAAATTTTCTGTCCCATAGGCATTTATATCTATATATATTTGTGTTTTTTGTGCAGATGTTGGCGTGTGCGTGTGTGATGTCTGTCTCACCCACATGGGTGTTTACATGTAGTTGACTTTGATATCCATTTAATTTTGATCAAAGAAACTCCGAGTGGAAATCTAAAAAAAAAAAAAGAAACTCCGAGTGGAAATCTAAAATTATTGATGTTATTCCAAGCTATTAAAATATATGGAATCTAAATGCTTTTTAGTTTTTTATGGCTCATCCATGTATCGAGCATAAGATAAAAAGTAAATGATGCAAAAGTTGATATCGAAACACTGATTTATGAAGTAGTTCGGAAATAAAACAAACTGAATTAATCTACTTGTAAAGATAAGTACCAATGAAAGAACTTTTAAGCTGAACCACTGGTGATATGCAAATTAATGTTATTGTATCATAATATCCAATGTTCACATTTAAATTTACTTGATCAACAAGCAAGTGGTTTTAGAATTCAAAATACCTTAGTTCTTTAAGTGGTTAATAAAATAGATGATAATTAATGTTATTAAATTTTATTTCAAGAGTTTTGGCAAACTAATATAATCGAAAAGATAATAGATAGAAAAAAAAATGATGTTATCTTATTCATAGGAAGTGGAGCTCATTCTTACCCTCTCTCTCTCTCTCTGTATATGTAAGTATATGACATACTTCAATAATTATATGCATAATGATGATGCAAGCATATTTTCTGATATAGGGTTATGATTTTTTAAAGACGCTTTGTGGGCCATCCATTCAATGAGAAATGATCAGCCCTGATATTTGTCTGATTCCCAGATCGGAGGACACTTAATACATATAACATCTGTTCATATGATCATGACTGCTTGTTAACATTTCATTCTAAAAAATCCCTAAAAAAAGAATTGTTTATATCCTTTCACTCCTTTTAGCCATGCAGTACTACTGTAAAGTAAAATCTAACTTCTTTTCCTATGGTATTGGCTGGTTTGGACGTCATATTAAAGAAATTTAATGAATTCTCTATAGCTGTGCACTCCTTAAGACATTTTGGAGTACTTTTGTAATGTAAAACCTAAATAACGAGTTGGCTTTGTTAATATCTCTACCTTTATACCTTGCTATAAAATCCACGGATACACTGTTTTGCCTAAAAATTATTGGATTGGTACTAAAGGACTCTGGCTCGAACTTTCTCTTACTGAATAACCAACAAATGGCACTGAATGTTCTGAAACTTTACCTTTATCATTCGCTTAGGAATGAAGATTCCTCGACTTGTCGAAGTATGATGTAGATGAGGTTTTTAATTTTTTATTGTGAGAAGTGTAGGTACGCCATGCAAGAGGCTCGAATTTTGGGCTTCAACTTTCATTGAGAGTAGTTTTCTCACCTCGGGAGATCCATTGAATGCTATTACTATAAAATAACCAATATGATTCTCAAATATCCTATGCAATCAACTACACATTGAAGTACAAGACCTTGTTTAATATGCAGAAGTTTGCCTTAAGCCTACTCAAGAAAGTTGAGAGACTCTGTGGGACATTTGTATATGTCCTCTTTAATAGAACTACACGTAATTTATGTGTTGCTAAATTTGAATTTACAAGTTCATCATTCATCTTGTTTTTAAAAGACCAGTCCATAAACTGCTCAGAGCGGTGAAGAAATTCTGCATCATCATATGAATTCTTAATGTGATGATAGTTTACTTTCTTAAATCTTGCTTCTTTGTTGTCATTCTAGATTAGCTTCATTCCGGAAATATGAACATTTTCTTTTATTGCATGATTGAACCTTGTTTCTCAACAATTGGGCTACCTGTGTTCTTTCGAGTCAAGTTATTTTTTTTTAATGTATGACTTGATGTCTTTTTGCAAGTAATAATTTGCTGTGTTTATGTTAATTTTCTTCTATCTTCGGCCAATTTTATAAAGTTACTTTCTTTGTAATTGTTGATGGTTTTTATGATCATCAAGGTAATCTGGAATGCTTTTTACTGTGTTTCTGAACTATTGAAGCAATTTTCCCTCTTTAACTGTTTACCTGAAAAATTATTCATCTGCACTGTCACCTTCCGTTGGTTAATTGAAGTATTCTGCTGAATGTTCTAAGGAAAATGTTTTCTTTTTAATTTATTTTGGTTTCCACTTTCAGTTTATCAATTTCTTGAAATGATTTTAAATGTGTTTGTCAGGTAGTTGATTTCTGTTGTGGTGCAAATGAATTCAGTATTCTGATGAAAGAAAAGCTTGATTCTACTGGAAAGAAATGCTTATTTAAGAACTATGACATTCTTCAGGCAAAGGTAGTGTTTACGCTAACTTGTTGAAATTCCTATGTAGCATTGTCAGCATATTCGTGCAGTTCATGACATTAAAATCACATGCTTTATTTTTATTTCTGCTGTGAACCGGTCTAAAGGCCGGTCTGATTCAGCTTGAAAACCGATTTTTATCAAACCTGGATGAATAGGCCTGAACCACCGGTTCTACCGGCGAATCGATCCCTATTAAAACCACCTGTTCTACCGGCGAACCGATCCCTGTTAAACTTGTTCTTTGGAATTGGATACAAGCTATCTTCAATTTATGCTCTATCAAACTAGCTATTCTTGTTTGAACTTTGTGAGCATGGGGACATCAAATGAGGGTTAGACTTGTACTTTCTTTTCCTCTGGCTACCAAAAGGGGAGAGGTTGGCCTTTCCAATGCCACAACATACTTGATATCTTGACCTACCATTACAAAAAACGTAAGATGGATATGTTTTCTGTATAGTTTGCACGTTTATGAAAGACAAGTATTCAGATGTGAGAATCATATGTGCTAACAATTATTTAGATGATATGTGAAGGGACTTAAGGCACAATGTGATACTTCAAGTTTTGATATGGATGGTTAAATAGCTCAGATGATTCCTTATTATAAAGTAAAACGGAATATTTCAGGTTTAGGTCATGATTTGGAGGAGACTTTGAGCAAGTTGTAGATTTGAGCTTTATGTGAATTTGAGCTCTAGAACCCTCCTCTCCATTCCCTTCAACATGCAGTTATTTCTCTGGCAGCTGTTGTTTCTGTGCTGTGTCAGAGTTCATTTATGAATTTGTGACTGCATTGTGAAATTTGTGGGTTTGAAATGGCGTGTTTGATATGTGGATATGTTTGCAAGTTGTAAGTATAATAGATAGCCATTTGAAAAAAATGATGGGCACATTTTGGAAGTTCAGGCATGTGGACTGTGTTTGGACTGCATATCAAATCATTATATAATATATAGTAAAGTTCCTCTTTGCATGATTCCACTCACTAGGGATCTGCTTTCCAGTTATTTTATTTATTTATCCTATTTATTTGACTTTTGCGTTTCTAAATGCACTGATTTCAATTATGAAGAACATTTTATATTGAAAAAAGTTGTCCTCTCATTTCCTCAAATATCAAGTTATCAACTAACAGACAAGCACAAGTCTTTAGGTCTTGGTGTATTCTTTTATTTATTTTTTACTGTTAGTTTTTAATAAAAAAACTTCTTTCTTAAAGTTCACCTTTTTTACTTTTGTATCCTTTCACTCCTACAGCATGACAATTACTTAAGCATCTTCAGTTAATAACAAATCTCTTCTACCATTATGCAGAATGATTTCAATTTTGAGATGAGAGATTGGATGACAGTCCGGCCTAATGAATTACCAACAGGGTCAAAATTGGTATGCAACATTACACTGTGATCTCAGTCTGGTTTTCTTTCGATTTCAACTAAGACGTCACTTGGTACAGTTGTGATGATGTTGACCTTTTGTTGTATTATTATATGACAAAATCATTACTCTCACATATAAATAAACTTTTCTTCATTATTTGGTTTGTGGTGATTTGGTTATGGTTTGAAATTTTTTATAACTGGTTGGTTTATCTGATTTAGGTTTGAAGTTACTCCTAAAATGAAAACAAAACCTAAAATAACCCAAACCAAATATAATGCAGTTTTTCTTAAGCCATCATCAAACGAAAGTGGTTAATCTCTAACTTATGGTTTACAGGACACTTTTGCGCTGCTATTATGTGTAAAATTACATTAAACCAATCCGAAAAGAATTAATAAATCTATTTAAACCAAATTGGTTCAAACCAAGTTATAGCCTTTTCTTGTTTCTTATCCCAAAACGAGAACTGATGTAGTTTGGTTTTATTTCCACATTGTCTTGACATACATATTGAATACGCGTAAAGGAGGGAAATTGGCGACAAAAAAATGACGTGTCACTTGAAAAGTCAAATGACATCCAATCGCCGAACGGATTGCGCCGTTCCGACCAGAACATCGAATTCCCCTAAGTCGAAGCCCCTCGCAGTCGAATTGGGCGTGACCGGTCAAAGTTGGTGACCAACACCCAAAAATGATGTGCAACGTCGATCGCAAAATAGACTTTGTCATTGTGTTCTAAGCGTCGTCAATACTCAAAAGTGACTATAAATTTGTTCAATTGAAGTCACGCGAGGAGATCGGCATGGGTCCCGAGGCAATGCCTCATAAATCGAGAAAATCAACTTGCGACGTCGCTGCCTAAACGACCTCCGACCGTAAAACATACTTCGTCGTTGCGCTCGGAGCGCCAACAATACCTAAAATGAGTTGTAATTTCGTCCAATGAAATTTGCACTCTCAAATCGACGTGGTTTTTGGGACAATATGTTAGAATTTCAAAAAATCAAGTGAAAGTTGAGGCAAAAACTTTTCAATTTTTATTTCAATAATCTTAAGCAATAATGATGATATAAAATCATTATTATCATTACACCAATTTGGATTAAAAAAACTCAAAAAAAAAAAATCAACTTGATCTACCTCACCTTGCCTGCGATCCGTCCGTCCGGCAGTAAGCTTCACACAACCTTCCCACGCCTCGACATCTACGACAAATTGATCTCTGTGCATGACCTTTGGCTTTGTTTTAATGGAAACGAATGGAAGCCTTCTTCATTGCTATTCACATATACGAGCGGCCCACTTTTCACGTTTGAATATTACCTCCCTTTCAAGCGTTCATTCCGTCATCTTCCAACCCCGATTCTCCTCGACTTCCATATCCTGAAAATCTACACGCATAGCTCGTTTGGACTTCATATTTTCCTATCGCGCTCCATAAACCCAACCTCATTTGCAGGCTTCTCGTTCGGCTATCCCATTAACGCGAAATCCCCGTCTCGGGGCTCTAAACAACAATCAAGCTATGACATTTCTTCCCAATTTCGCTCCTTAAGCCAAATCTTCCAAATATCCTAGCCTTCTTTTTTGGTCATGACCACACCGTCGAATCCCGATCAGAAGCTTTCCGAAGGCTGTCCGTCCTTCTCACAGTCATAGGAAGATCTGATCGAACTCCATTCGCAGTCTAAGCAACTCGTGCATTCGATTCTCTCGTACACGTGCCTGCCTTTCGACCCAAATCCTAGATCCCCTCTCTGAACCATCCGAGCTTCCACAGTCAATCCAATCATTTGCACCTCTCATTCCTGTTCTACCGTACCTGACTGCTGACACTGCCGCCATCGCCCCGACATAGCCATCATCATCTTGACATAGTCAACATAGCCGACGACCTCTACGCAAGTATAAAGGTCCAAACCTTATCCTCAATGCTTGAGCAACCACCCATGCACACTTTTCTTAGCATGATGGGGAGGAAACTCGCCACGGTGCTCTCGATGAGGTAGGTAACCCTCGTGCTCACTTTTCTTAGCACGACGGGGCATAATTTACTTGTACACACCTCAATGTTGGAGGGGAAACGATTGTGCATTTCAAAATAGGTACTCTTGAAGACCCATGCATGCATTTTTTGACACCGACTGTGCACATCTTTCTTGACGTGGCAGGAAGGCTATGACTTCCCAAAATTTTCCCAAACGGGGGATATATTGGGATGTTGCCGAAATTCAGATTGAAGTGCATATGATCTGAACAACAAAAAATGACTTAATTTGAGCAGCAATACAAAGGACCTGTGATTAAGTAAAAATGCACAGAACTTGAACAACTGCGCAGAGAACTTGTATGAACAAATAGGGAATCAAATTTGAACTAAACAAGTAGGGAACAAAACCCTAACTTTTAAAATAAACAATTAACTCTAAAATGCAAATGCTAAATAACAATTCAAGTCATTCATATAAACATCAACGAATGAACCGGGAACTCGTGATGAACAAGACTTCGATGCACACAAACAATGAATAGTAATCAATTTACAGCATTTGAACAATTACAAACAAATATCAATCGTAAAAAAAACCCGCGAATATATGTGACACGACAAATGATGTTGATTAATGCATGATAAATGCAATGAATTCCTACAACCATCCCCTCGTAGTTGAATACATTTTATTTTCAAGCGACAACAGCTGACTATAGAATGCGCGGGTGTCTCGTACTTGCATCGATGAAAGCCCTAATGCAAGTAACAGTCAGCTTGCAAGTGGAGACGATGGATTTTGCAAACAATAGTAGAAGACCCGTCATGCATACAACCGTTTACATGAAGATAACAAGCATTGATACAATAATGCCTTGAAGTCAATGTCAACATCATACGACCCATCACTGAAAACAAGTATATAGACCACCTGTGAATGGTGAAGGTGTATACGATGCAAGTGAAATGACTCTTACACAAACACATGAGGGAGATTATAATGAACATGACCATTCCCTATAAACAAGTGTGGATGATATGATCTATTTATGGATAACAACAGTGGGATATCGCAAGTGCAATGAATCCTCTGTGGACACAAATGCATACAACACCTACAAATAATCGTAGGAGATATGTTGTATATAGTAGTCCATCTATAGATGACGACGAACAATGTACAATAGATATTATATCATTTTTGCACTCAACAACCATCCAACAGTTAAGCAGCTGCATTGATCTTGTGACAGTCGATGTCGGTAGGCAGATGGATATGGAAACTTGCCTAAGGTTAACAGTAAATAGCTGTCGACCAATGATGAATGTGTACAACAGTGCCTCCCCTACGGACACCTACAACAATGATGATTGACATGTTGCGAGTATGTTGGGTATAAATACAACTCGATGTACAGAGGAAGTACATTGATAAGTCGTCAAAGGAAGATTCCAATCGCGATGCGAAGTTAAATGATTTCATGAATGATTCTGTAGAGTCAAAGAATGATCAGTTGAAAAGATGCTTCATATTTGTCATCCCTACAAAAATATTGGAGACTTCCAATAACGACAACAATCTATAAACCACCGCAAGAAACCCGTTGATCTGCATCAGCAAAAGGCCCTAGCTACGACAATGTGACACGAAGTCAAATGGTTTTATGAATGATTATGTAGAGTCCAAGAATGAGCACGTGAAGGAAAAAAAAGAATGAATGATATCTCATTCTATCATCTCTGCAAAAAATGACGCGGCTCTCGAAAAAGAATGCACATCATTCAAGTGAAGACCCGAAGATCAAGCCCTTCAACTCAATGTCCTACTCACGTGACATGTCGGGACAAAGAAATATAACGATCGATATGTCGAGCCTTTTGTTTCATTAGCTTATGATACCTCATCTATAACAAAACGACCTTCTGTTGTTTAGATATTTTTGCTTAATCTAAGACAAACGTCAGCTGATTCTTGGATCTGACCTTCCCAAAGAACGAATGAGCCTACATCAGAGTAATGAGGTGTCTCACCGCAGTCGAATAAAGATGCTACGATTCACCTATAAGCAAAAGCAGAGAATCAATAATAAAAATACCCCCGCGTGCATTTATAATAAGTAGAAGGTATGATGAGGTCATCGACAAACATTTTAGGCAGGTCTACCGGTGAAGGAATCGTAGATCGACGGCTACGATTAGGAGCTTATATTTTTGATGTTTTCCATGTCATTTCTGATATTTTCCATGTATCTTTTAATTTCAGTTTTTAGTTTACTATTTTTCCCTTATGGATGTTTAGTTATTATTGTAGCCCTGTGGGCATTTAAGTCATGTTATTTTCTTTTGATGAGACATATATAAAGAGGTCTTCTACTATTGTATGAGCTTAATGTTTGATTAATAAAGTTTCTGAGATTTTCATTCTTCTTCTTGCTTGAGAGCTTGAGAGAAAAAAAGGAGACCTAGGAGAGACTCCACCCAAAATACCCAACAGCCCACATTGGTGAGCTCTTGGCTTTATTTTGTTTTTGTCTGTTTTCTTCTGTCCCCACCACCCCCATACACCCGACCTTCTCCTTCTCCCCCTTTCCCCCCCCTTGCCCAACTCCTCCACCCCGTGAACCGTCCCGCCGGCCCTCTTCCTTTTCTTTTTTTTTTTTTTCTGTTTTGAGTTTTGAATTTCAACATTTATTCCCTCATTAATACTTTCCCAACTCACCTCACTACAATTAGGAAGGGATTTAATTGAGGCCCAATCTATTTTGAATTCAAATTCAAATTCCCTCTCTATTCTCCCCTCATTTGGAAACTTTCCTAAAATTAAATTAAATCTGAAATTAAAAATCAGATTTGATTTAATTTCTTGGCCCCACCAATTAATTTCAATTCCCCTTTCCTCTCCTTGCTTGGAATTAATTCTCCCTAGCTGCCGCCCCTCTCTAGCCTAATTTAGGGAGATTTTAATTGCAAATAATCTCTCCCTCTATTCAAAGAAAAAAAAATCAGAAATTCAAATTCAGATTTTTTTTTCCAAGCAAGATCTCCCTTCTAATCCCTCTCCCTAGCTCACGACAAACTCCTCCTCCTTTCTTTTTTCTTCTTCCCATTCAATCCCACTATGAATGGCGGATCCAGAATTTGAAGGACTCGTATTCGATGCCTACGGAAACATCCACGTTCTTTGATCCCCATTCTTCGACGTGGGGTTTGAACACGAAGACACGGTTGAAGATTACTTGGATCGAATCATCCCCAAACTTGTGCACGTCATCGACGGCCAATTCCAAGATTATGTGTGGACAATCACCGGACGCCATCCACCACCACCTCCACCAGCGGCTACCTCTCCGGTAACGAAGACTTTCGTCTCCTTCTCCGTAGTGGTCTCTCCATCCTTGTATGGTTCTTCCTCCTTCGCTAAAGCCAAGAGTGAATGAGTGCGAAGGTGCTCGAGGTGAATTTTCTCATTATTAAGCGTAGGATTTTGTTATGAGCATTTAAGTATTTCTTTTATCATTGGATGTTTTTGAATTGTTTGGTTATCTCAAAGCACCTATTCGCCTAAGCAAGTTGATTATCTAGAATTTATTTAATCCTTTATTTTATTGGTGATAACTTTATGGTGGTAACGCTTTATTAAATTATCATCTTAATTTCCGCAAGCAACTTTTACTTGATTCACATCAAGGTATCACTCAAGTATGTCATTTAACACTGTAATTGCACTTCCAAAATCGTCCTCCTACATAAACAGAGGGCATCACTCTAGTGTGTCATCTGACATCATGATTACATTCCAAAATGCCCACGCATACACCTGTAACAAGCAGAGAGTATGTTAATATGTCATGTGACAATGCAGTTGCATTTCAAAAATCATATCATAAACACACATGAATGCATCATATGAAATGCATACAACGACATATACCCACGTAGGCCCTGACGAGTGTGTCATAGGTACACTTGTGATGTCTAAGAATGTCAAGTGGGTTAAGAAATAAATTCTGATCCGAACCCGATCCTCTATTAGCAAGTAGACAGAGTTGACAAGCTTCAATCAACAAAAATGTAACCCTTGAATTCTCCGATGATTAATGTGTTAAATGTAAATCTTAGTCGGAGGGGATCATATATTTTCAAATGCCCTCAAACTTCTACAAAATTCAAAAAATTTCAAATGACGTCAAAGTTACCCCGATGATGGTCTTGTTGAACGTAGATCTCAATTCGGATGGGTTAATTCCAAATATTCAAACGCTACCCAAATTCCCTCAAAATTCAAAAATAAAAAAATACTCAAATTCAAAATATTTAAAATCAAAATTTATCTATCAAACACTTAAAGCGAAACCCAACCATCCTCCGCAACAGTTTGCCGAGATGGACATATTCAAATATCACTTCAGTCTTCAGCTTATAAAGAGCTAATGTCTGGTTGTGTATATCACTAGGATTCATTCTCAAACATTCTCTTGCCAGCATGGACGTGGCATGTGTCCTCTAACTGATGATTTTGCCGCTAAATGACACCGCATGCAAATGGTTATGCCCGGGGCCCTCTGAACTGGGTGGTTTGCCGTCAAATGGCACCACTAAATTACGATCATGGCCAGAGCCCGTATGCTCCCCAATGTCATTAAAATCCTTGAGATATGAATCAATATGATATAATTGGTAAGCCCTATGTTAGCTAAGATAGATTCAAATTTGTCCCCTTATATAAGCATCTACCCCAAGTCTACAAGATACCCTTGGACGATGCAACCCATGGTTACTGACAAGGATCCTTTTGTCATGTTGGGTCGACTACCTCTGACTAAGTAGACCAGGGACCACGATGGCCAAGGACGACGAAATCATGGGATCTTGATCAGGCTCATAATCACCCCCCCCCTCCCAAATAAATAAATAAATAAATAAAATTCATTTGTTTTAAAGATTCTAATTTTAAATATTAAACTCTCAAAAACATAAACCCTGTTGCTACTATATGCTGGATATCACGTATCTACGGGTACAACGTATTCATTAATGACTAGCCTTAATTGAAAGTTCTCTCTGGTGATGGGGTGAGTAATTAACTATAGGGGCTTGCTCCTATAAGAAACCAGAACTCAAATATAAAGTCTTCATAAAATGAGGGTGAAATCTCTAGGTAGTGTCTTATTTCAAAACCAATATGCATTTGGAAAATTTATCCCGGAACCTAATTCGTTAAAACTCTCCCAAAAGCATGGGAGGCTGGGGTGCGAATTTTCGTTTGGTTTGGTTTGGAACCAAACCGTACAATGCCTCTCTATTCTCTGTTCCCCTATTCTTCAAACCTTACTGTGCCTCCCCTATTCTCAAAGCTTTATTCCCTTGTAAATCAAAACTACTTAAAACCATATTTAGGTGAAAGGTGTAGTAGCCAAACGAAGCCTAGTTTTGTTATTCCGCCAATTCCTAGTTGCTTATGGCGTGAGTAAAGATGTAAAACCCTTTCACTGTTTGCACTGAGACAGTCACATAAGTTATTCTCTTTTCTACCAGCTGAGTTTTGTACATTTCCCAGATGTTTACTTTTTGTGGTTTTATAGTTTTCGCCTTAAAACTTCCTTTAGCAAATTATTCCATTTATTTTTGCATGTTTTTGAAAGTATCATCCATTCTTATTGAGGCAATAGCATAATGGTTCCTCTGGTGATCAAGGAGACAAGGGCCCATAAAATTGTCTTGCCTATGATGTCAGCTTATTTTCAAAATTGTTGGCACTTAGTGGCACCTTAGTATCACCGTTTAGAGATTGACAAATCTTTGGGCAAGCACATTTTTAAGCTAAGGCCTTTTTTAAATTGTTAACAGAACTTAAATTTATGGTCTTGGTGTCAATGTATATGTAGCATTGTCTAATCCTGATTTGTTACTTTAAAAGTTTTGTAAGTTTTCTTATTGATTACGAGCTGATAAATATCATGAAAGATTTGTTAGTATTATCTACATCTCTATATAATATTATTGGTCTATTGTAGCTATTGCTTGGTTTATTTTATCGATTGATGGCTTTAATATTTTCTTGTTATAGATATTGTGTTTTATTTGTAATATGTTGATGGTTTCTTTAGGAAAGAATCTCAAATTAGTTATTTTTTCTTTGCCTATGGTTTTGTTTGGAAACTGGTGCCTCACTTTAAAAAGATTATTGCTGGCATCTCTCGCCTTTCTTTGGGGGCAATTTTGGCATCTTGCATGAATTTTTGTTCTAAAATCATGCCTGACCATCCATTTTCATTTTTAATTTATCTCGTTTTTTTTATTTTAATGTCAACAATGCTTAGCTAAGAAATCTACCGTCCAGGCTTGTGATTCTATTTTGTTTTCCATAGTCTAATGTATCCCTGATAATTATGTCTGAAAATTGATACAGACTCAATAATTACTTGTATTTTAGTTGGCTTCAAAGCAAAATCAATCTTCTTCGGTGAAATAATTAGATTCAACACAAAATTATATATATATATATATAATAAGCTCAATTTATATTTTATAAAATACATTTTAATTTAGTTTCGAATCAATTATTACTTAACTACAGCAAAAAATTAAAATATTTGATTTCAACTCTTGCATCAACTTTGCTCATTTTAACTCTATAGCCCAAGGGAGCATTAAGCATTTTTCCATAGAATCCCTCGCCCATGCATTTTAAAAGATATTGAGCCCATTCATCAAGTATAAAGATGGAAAGACATTATCAGTAGACGTAAAGATGCAAAGAATCTAGGCATTTTGCATGTAAAATCGTGCTTTATATTGATGGTCCAGGAACCTCTGAAAATGCTCTATGAAGCATGAACCTAGAAACAGCAGCAGGAATCTTGTTTCTGTTTTAATAATTTTTGGTATTCCATACAGATTATGGGCCTTAATCCTCCATTTGGATTAAATGCTCGTCTAGCCAATCAATTCATAGACAAAGCTCTTACTTTCAAGCCAAAGCTTCTTATTCTTATTGTTCCAGAGGAAACTCGGAGGTCGGTAATTGCAGTTTTTATTTTCCTTACATTATTTTGCAGCTAAGTTGAAATCATCGAATGCGGTGGTCAAAATTTTTTCAGGTTAGATACGAAGAGTCCACAATATGACTTGATCTGGGAGGATCGTGTGACCCTCTCAGGGAAGGTATTCTCTGTACAGTTTATTTCATCAATTTTTGATTAATAAATGTAAAAAATTTGACGCTTCTCCTTTTTTTTCTCTTATCCAGTCATTTTATTTGCCTGGTTCTATCGATGTGAATGACAAGCAAATTGAGCAGTGGAATAACAAACCTCCAGTTCTCTACTTATGGAGTCGCCCTGATTGGACATCAAAGCACGAGGGCATTGCTTCAAGTCAAGGTCACACGTCTAAGATGCTACCTTCTTTCCTTGTTCACAAAGACTCTCTACCAAATAGTGGAGAAGAAGCTCCTACAGCTAATAAGAATACTGAAGAAAAGCACATAGAGAAAGATGCTAATCAAGTGGATAGAGAAAGCACGTCACTAAAGCAGAAGGGCATAGCCATGCACCATGATCCTGCATCATCCGAACCAGTGGTTGAGGCACAAATTCAAGTTGACAGGAAAGAAGTTCCAAAACGGCAAGAAACAAGTAGAGAAGTTGACAACAAAAAGAAACACATCCCAGAAAGATCTGAAAAGAAGGAAACTGCTTCAGTTCAGAAAGAATCAGGGAGAGATGTTCCAAATAAGCCGCAGCGTGTAGAAGAAAAGTCTGAGAAGAAGATTGCTGTTTCAGGGGAAAAAGCAGGCAGGCCAGATACAAGCAAAAAGGTTTCTGAGCAAAGCAAGAAGCGGAAATCTTCAGAATTGCGTAAGGATGATACTTCTAAGATGAAAAAGTTGAAGGAGCAACAGCATCCGCAGCAAGTGGAAGGAGAAAAACTGTCGGAAGAACTTTCTATGAGCATTTCCCCAGCAGACAGAAGAGATCCTGCAGACATTTCTACGCTGAAGTTAGGAGCTTTCGATGTGCCTTTTGACAGGGAAAATAGTCATGGTGGATATACTGGCTCAGGTATTGAGATGAAAACTTTTTCAAGGCCATCTGGTATACTAAATGAGGATCCAGATATCATTCCTAGGAGGTATAATTCTGTAGAAAGGGATAGCTTCTACACTAAGAACCCCCATGCTCGATCTGCAACTGAGGTTTACTCGATTCCAAATCCAGATGAAAGATTTAGAAGTTATAACAGTATAGACACTTTCAGCTCGAGTCCTTTTGTCAGAAATGGATATGGAAGACCTTCTTATGGTTTGCCAGGTGATGAAGTTGGGCCCCAGTTTAGAAATTATAGTAAGCATAGTGAAGAAGTCACAAATGGTTTTGGAAGGCCTGTTGAATCAGATACAAGGACACAGATTAGATCCTATGGTATTCCTGATGAGGAAGATCTTCTAACAGGGAACAGGTTCGCCTTGGGAGGTTCAGGATCTTCATCATTAGGGCAGCCTGGTTTGTACCCTTCGTCTTCTTACAGGTTCTCGAGTCCTGTTCCAGAGGCATCATCCACAATCCAGCGATATGCGCCTCGGCTTGATGAGATGAACCATTTGAGGGCTCAACCTATGAGCCCTGGCATTCCATTCTCTTCAAGGCTTAACATTCCACCTGATTCTTTTGGTTACACGCCAGGAGCTTCATATTCAAATCATGGCTCCTTTGGTGGCTGGATTGATGATTAGTCTATGGCGGTATTTTGATCCAAAGAGGTTAGTTTTTGTGTTACCCAGCTTGATGAACTTGCATCAGGTGTTTGGGTTTTGCAAATGGAGGAGATGACTTTTTTTTTTTTTGAATAGTTGGATTTACATTACTAATATTTCTCAAGAAAAAACTATTGTATAGTAAATGTTCATGAATATTTCCTAATTCCTATTGTATTTTTTGAAGAAAAATTATTGCAACGGATTAAAATAGATATAAGATTAATGTGAAAGAGTTAAAATAGAATAGCTATAGAGGTGTCAAAATAAGAATTGAAATGATGGTGATTAGGTTAATGATAAGGCTATTGATACTTATGATCTCCATGATGAAGGGAATTAGAGGCAGGTATTAGTGTTAATTTCGCTGTTCTGAATGCTGAAGCTAACCAACACAGTTTTACTGGAGAGAATTAAGCTAAATTTAATGCAGTAGATTTGTAGAAAAATACAAGACAGAATTCGCAGTTCCAATGTAGTAGTGTTCTAATATTTCTATTTTATAGATACTTCAAAGAGTTTCAGGGTTTCTTAAGCTATCGACTAGACCTTATTTCCCTCTATAAAAGCAATATTGTTCCACATCAAGAATTTGAACTTTGAGTAATAATTTGTCACTGCATGTTGCTATGCTTTATGAATGAATTCTCATTATTAAAAAATAAGGGTGGGTTCTATTTAGTTAGATGAATTAATCAAGAAAAGAAAAGTGTTAGGTTTACTTTATTTGGGAGAATATTATTAGTTAATCTAAATAATATTGAGCTATAATCAAAATTTTATGTAAATTTATTTGTGAGGTTTCACTCATATTTTTCTAGTGTCGGGCTCTACCTTGATTTATTTGATGGGTCTGTTAGGATTAATTATTCTATGCAGAAGTTAAATGTCGTTCGAAGATCAATTAGAATTTATCATGTCAGCCTTTTGTTGTGTACCGCGGCTGAGTTTTGCTGGGTACCATTTGATACCGTTGATGTGACTGCACCTGATTCGCCTTTGGACATAGAGTCACGTCCGCCCTCAACACAGAATAATTTCTTTTGTTAGGCATGGTGGAATGGGTTTATAAAGTTTGTGATGTTGCGAGAAAAATAGTTTAATTATTCTAGTTATAAAAAAGCACCAATTCTTCTTATAATGTTTTGTTTGGGATTTTTTTTTAATTATAATTATAATTTTTATTTGTTCATTATTTACACTTCAATAAATTTTTGTAATAGAAGTTATTTTCTACATCAAATTTAAAAAAAAAAAACTATTTTTTTCATAAGTTTTAAAATCACATTTATAAAAAGTTGAAACCATCCCAAACGGGATTCGAAAATTTTGAAAAATAATAAAATAATAATGAGAAAATTATAAACAAATAAAATTATGATTATCATTTGAATAGCAAAGCGATCTAAAAGTTATCTTAAATAGGTCCTTAATCTTATTATTTATGGTATAGCAATAAATAAGATAATCTTTCTATTGATAGGGATCTCAAATATCGTAGTAGCAGAATTTGCATAATTATATTAATATAATTAATTTACTATCCTTTAATATTCTGATTTTATTATATTTTGGTGAAATACAGATAATTGCGACGACAAAAGACAGGATTTTGAGTTTCACTGATCAGCGACCGAGCAAATAAGTGGGCTGGCTTGTCATAGTCTTTTTTTTTTTTTTTTTTTTTTTTTTTTGGGTTTTTTTTTTTTTTTTTTTTTTTTTTTTTTGGGACATTTAGGTCACACACACGAACTTTTATTTTATCCGGTGAACGTACGCTCCTCTACGTTCGGTTGTAGGCAAAAAAAGGGCAATACCGAGTACCGAGTTGTACCGAGTTTTTTCAAAAAACTCGGTATTGCACTGTTTTGGTCTAAAACCGAACGTAGAGGAGCGTACGTTCACTGGATGTAATAAAAGTTCCACACACACAACGTATACAGGAAGACTCGAACCCAAGATCTCTTAGTTGGAAGCCTAAGCTCTCAACCAACAAGACAAGGGGAGCTGTGTGGCTTGTCATAGTCGCGTAATAATAGAAGACAACGTGACATGATTTGTAAGCTTTAGAAAATTGTTTGTAATAATAATTCAATCTGAATATACTGATTAAAGAAGATAAGTTTATGTTAAGTATCTACATATTGAATTTGATAAAAATATTTTAATCACTTTTTTTCACAGCTTAATTGGCTAACTAATCAAAGCTTGAAAAACGTTTAATTTGTCAAAAATAATCGGGCTGTCTCAGCATATTTTGGATTTGACTTTATTCGCTGCAAGCTTACAATCTAAGGCTTTGTTTTAAGACAATTTATTTATTATTTTATTTTTCAGATCATAATCATAATTTTTATTTGGATATTATTTTTTCACTGCTTCAAAAAAAAATGTACTAAAAAATTACTTTATATAATAACTTTTAAAAGTTACATTATTTGCATCAATTTTATAATATCATGAATGAAGTCGAAATCATCAAATATGAGATTGAATGAAAGAATTTACTTGGAATTTAAAAATAATAAGGCTTCAATAATTTCCATCTTAAAAAATATGAATTAAATTTTTATATAATATATATAAATACATTACTATTATTATTTTTAATTCATAAGAGTAAAGTAATTCTCAACTTCTTTTTGAATCCACCGTATATAGATCATAAATGAAACATTCATATCTGCTACATAATTTGGTTTCATTTTGGATAATTTTTTAATTATTTTTTAAAATAAATTTAGGGTACAAAGATTATTTTACGTTAAAAAAAATATTTATATATGATATTATGAGCTTCACATGAGAGTCGTGCTTATATTATTTTGCCAATTGGGAGAGTTTTATAGATAAAATTCTAAAACCTGATGAGGCTTTGGCTTGGCCCTAAAACTCGTGTGATCTTTTTTGTTTTTAATTTAAAATAAAAGGACAGTTTATTCCATCAAAAGTAAGGAGGATACAAACAAGATTAAACGAGAGCAAAGAAGATTACAATTTAATAACCAGTAATAAAGAGAACTCAAACAGCGAAGAAGGCAAGAAGCCAATCGGGCTCAGTAAATTGCACAAGCTTCCTACAACCATCCAGACGCTAAGCACGGATCATCCAAAGGAGGATGAAAGCAACAATCCACAAAAGGAAAACGCATCTGAGACAAGCAGCATCCATCATCCCAAACAAGGCCATCAACAGAACAAGAGAAATCACCACTAATGATTGCCAACAAGCCACAGTGTCCAAAGTAGTGAGCAAAAAACCGCTGCATCATTGCTCATAAAAAAAAATGCTTCAACTACAAAGCCATTCTCTAACATCACATTCCACCCAAAAGAAATCCAACCGCATCCACAAAGCCTAAAAGCCCTCCATCCAACAAAAAAACACAAAACAACTTCCAACGCAAAAGAAATCCCCCAACTTTAGAGAACAACCACATTTACTTCCTTTTGTTTTTACGCCTCAAATGTTTTCCACCTCCATGGAAGAAGGCCTTCTCAACAATGTGACTCACATTCAAATTAAACAAATCATCAAACTCCTCCACGGCCCCCTCCAGATCATCTTCCTCACCCTCGCCATGCGAGGATAAATGCTCATCAAGCCAATTAGATTGTTCACACAAGAGTCATGCAATGACGAATCCAAATGGGCTATCAAATCCTCATTAGAGATAATTGAAATAATGATATCAACTATTCCTTCAGAAATTATAAAGGAAAAAGTGGGCATAGCAGGACCAACTGCATCATCAGGCATTCCACACAAAGAATCATTTAACACCTCCGTGTTCACACAACACACCCCCAAATTACCCACCTCGGTGTAAAGAGAAACATTAGGAGTAAGGCACAACGGATCCTTCACTACAACAGCTAAGGAAAAATCCTCATTAGCCTCATGAACGAGGCAATCAGAGATAGTGACAACAAGGTCAACTACCTCTAAACCATCAAAATTAGCAATAACAACACCTAAATTCTCCTTAACATGGCCATCAGCATTTAGATCATCTGAGACCAAAATTACAGGTTTAGAAGATAGCCCAACATCATTAACAACTGAAGGAAGCACCACATCACCAGCATTTCTCTCGTTCACATCATCAAGCAAAACACCATCACTAACATTACAATTAAAATTGTTTAGGCTGACATAAGCGGGCTTGACGCTCACATTAATTGGAGGGGGGATAATTGTAGGAGAAGGATTGAGATGGTGATTTAAACTACTGCATTCCATTTTAGAATGACCTAATTAGTTGCAATGGGCACAATAAGAAAGAAATTCTTCTATTACCACAGATTGTATATACCCTAAATTTTTAAGGCCAACCCAAATTCTATCAGGAAAATGTTTAGTAATATCTAACTCCTCTAGGACTTGAGCTACAAAAGGATGAAAATCAGTTGAAGCAGCATTATCTGTTTTTAAAGGACAGTCGAAAATGGATCCAAGTCAATGAAGGATTCTTGGTGAGAATTGTTGTGGCCGCAAGTGGAGAAAAGAGACCTAAATATGAATGATCGGTAATTCGATTTCGATATCAAGTGTTCGAGACCATTTAGCCAATTTCATAAAACAGTTGATAACAAAGTAAGATCAGTAGTAAAAGACTCTACAATAGTCTAAATCATCAACAAGTGACCGAACATTCTTCATTCAATTTTAGATTGAAAAAAAATATCCTAGTAGCATCAATGGAAGGTCTACAGTTGGGAAATTTGCCAACTAGAGCGAACCCAAACGGAATGGTAAGCACATTTATTTCCTCTTCTGAAATCCAAAGAATCGGCAACCTCGGTGAGAAGAAATTAGGTCAGGGAAAGAAGATGAACAATTGGAAGCATCAACTAAAGCATCTTTGAATGAACGAGAAGAACCGTTCTCATTCAGAAAACCAGGGTCCCTTAAGCGATTAGCTGCCATGACCAAAAAAAGGAAATGACGAGGCACCGCAAACAACACAAAATGAACTAGGAAATGGAAAAAAGAACTTCCTTGAGGAAAACAGCATCGAAGGCCACCACGACAGTGAGAAGGTCGGTCTCGGAGGCTAGAGCACAAAACATTGGGAAAACGAAGAGAAATCAAGAGGGTTGAAGTGGCTTATGATAAAAGGTAGAAAGGCTTAAAACTCGTATGATTGTAATCACTAAATATATAATTCTTGGGTGGCCCATTAAATTATTCG